TCTTCTATGGAATCTAAGGTATCTGAGGGCAGGGAATGTGTCCGCTTCACCCTCTGTCCCCCACAGAGATCACCACAGCTCTCGACATACAGTAGGAGCTCAGTCAATGATGACACTGGATAATTTATAAAGGAATGAAATTTGTTTTCTACAGTTTTGGAGGCTGGGAAGTCCAAAGTCCAGGGCACACATCTGGTGAGGGCCTCCTTCTACAGCAATGCAGGGTATCACATCGCAAGAATGGGTTGAGCAAGAAAGAGCTAACCTACTCACTCACTCTCCTTATAAAGCCATCAGAACCACACCCATGACCAGCCATTAAACCATCAATGCATGAATCCATTCACAAGGTTACAGTCCTCACAATCTAATCATCTCCTAAAAGTCCCACCTTTCAATTACCATAATAGGATTTCCTACCCTATTAACACTGTTACAATGGAGATCATGTTTCCAATACATGAACTTTTGGGGGACACATTTGACCCATAGCAATATTCTTTGATAGATCAGGTTGATGAGGCTGGAAGAAGGCAGGGAGGTAGGGGAGGGCAGAGGTCTAGCTCCCAGGGGGGTCAATGCCACGTGCCAAGGGCCTGCATGGGGAACTGAGATCTCTGGCTCTGAGACCAATCACTCCTTGCTGCCAGCTCCCCACGTGTCCTGGGAACCAGACCAGCTTACAGCACTGCAGGGTAGGGATGGGTGAGGCATGTGTCCAGCCACCAGACAGGACTCCTTCCTGTGGAAGCCTGGCCCTCTACCCACACAGAGGCCCAAATGTCCATTAAACCCTCCTTTCACATTTCCCATAACTCGTTAAGAGCACCTCCCTCGCCTTCCACCTGAGGACACACAGCTTCTAGGCTGTGCACAAAAGGAAGGGTGGAAGAGAGAAGGGAGTAGGGGAAGAAACACCTTTGAAATCACTGTGGTCCAATTAGCCAGGCTCTTGCCCTTCGTGCTTACAAACAGGAGTGCACATTAGCACCTGCTACAAAAGCAAACATTTTTAGATATCTTCATCTTCACCTCTATGATACTCCCGTGAAAGGGCTCTCAGCAGCCAGTGACTGACAGGGTAGCTTTCCTTCTTATACTTNACACACACACACACACACACACACACACACACACGAGGGTACTTCAAAAAGTTCATGGGAAGATTCATATTATCTCTTAATTCTATTTTTCCACAAGCTTTTTGAAGTACCCTCGTATATGAGACATATATAATATCTATAACATAATTTAATATCCATATATTCCTATTAAAATCACACACATATATTTACCAAAAGACATGTACAAGAATGTTCATAACAGCACTATCGGAAAAAACTCCAAAGTGAGCCCATCAAGAGCAGAACAGATAAATGGTGGCATGTTCCCATGGTGGAACATGATACACCAATGAGAAGGAATGATCCCCACGTAGAGGCAATAACATGAAAAGCAAAGGAGGCATATGAGTAGAAACTGTGTGATTCTATTTACATAAAGCACAAATCGGGCAAAACCAACCTATACTATTAGCCATCAGGATGGTGATGACTTTGGTTGGTGGGGGAGGGTCTGAAGGAGGCCAAGAGAGGAGCTTCTGGGTTGCTGGGAATAGTCTGTTTCTTGGCCTGAGTGTTGGTCACACAGTGTGTTCAGTTGGTGAGAATTTGTCGAGCTGGACACGTACATGAGGTTTTCTGAACATATGCAATAAAAGGCTTTGTAAAACAGTACTCTGATGGCACGGCTGTTGTTAAGACCATAATGAAAAGATGTTAGGAGAAGAAATATGGAGATGGTGTATGAGGTCAGGGTGTACAACCAATGACTGAACTTCACTGCTCAGACTACAGGAGTGTTGGGGAAGCTGATCACACATCCAGCACAGGCCCAGGGGACCAGGAATCCAGAAGCTCTCGGAGGCCCCAGGCCACCCCTAGGCCAGCCCCTGCCCTTAGAACCTCCATGCCTATCAGAACATCAGAATATCGAGCTGTGCCTCTCTTACAACAAGAGCATCCCCAGCTGCCAGGGAGACCACACCCATCACCCAAGGTGAGTAAGACTTCACAGCTTCCCTGGCTCCCTAGGGCCAAGTATGTGAACTCTATGGGACTTTGAAACCTCCCCTTCTAGAAAGGCTGGATTTTCCAAAGTCCAAAACCATTTGAAGAGGAACGGGAGAAGTACTGCAATAACTCTGTAAGCATTCTGTTTTGACAATGTGCCTGAGGAATTCACCACGTCAAGTGGGAGTGTGAGCAGTTAAATCTATTCAATGTCATGACACACAAAATTGAAGCATAATTGCCTCTGAGTGCTTGACAACTGGAAAGCACTTTGTTTCAGAAATGGAGGGAAATTTATGCTGGGAAATGGAAGAGATTGTCAAAAGTTTGATTGTAACGTGAGTGGAGCTGCAACAAGAAGGATCAGGTGTAGAAATTGCTCGACATTTTTACTCCCGTTTGAAATGGCTCAGAAACAGCAGTAGTGACTCTGTCCTTTCCCCTAAAAACCAGTGAAATGATTATTGGAACTGCAAATTTCAAATCCCAAAGAGTGGCCCCAGCACGGCTGGGAGAAAATGCTTTCTTACCAATCATGTGGTTGGCAACATGGATTTGGATCTCTCTCTCGTTCTCGAAGGTCATCTGGCACTTGATGCACTGGTATGTCTTTTTCTGTTTGGAAACCAAAAAGAAAAGAATTAGAGAGCCAGGAGGTGGAAAAAAGCAGAAAGCAGAAGTTGCTGGAGGGCCTGACTCAAGACTTCCCAGAATGGCTCTGGTCCCCTCCCAGGTCTCCCCCAGGCCATTCTCTTCCCACCTCCCCCTGAACCAGCTCTACCAGCCTGAGGAATGGGCACCAGGCTACATTCCAAGGGAACTCCTCCTCTGCTAGATCTGGGGAAACTCCCTCATCCCAAGGTGACCTTTTGCAGGAGCTAAGGGAGGCTACCTGCTTGGAAAGGCAAATCCATCTATCCATCTATTCATTTGCCCACCCATCCACCCATTCATCCATCTTCTGTTTATTCATCCATCAGTCTATCCGTCCATCCACCTACTTATCCTCTGTTTACCCATTCATCCATCTACACACAAATCCACCCACCCATCCACCCATCCATCCATCTTTCTACCTATCCAACAACCTTCTCATCCATTTACCCACCCTAAGAACCATATAGCTGAGCAGAAGACACTGCTCCTGCCAACTCTGGTGCTCAAGTTTGACTGAGAAATTCCTCATCTGCTCTAGACACACATGGCCCCAGGTTATCCCACAGCTCGTTTCTATACACAGGAGCATTTGAGGGATGGGGGCAGAAAAAATAGAGATCATCGGAAGCTCTAAAGCTTCTTGAAGATTCACATCAAAGAGTAGACCTTACTCTCACAACTAAGTGGGGGAAAACGTAAAACCAGCACCCTGGGGATGCAAGTCGTGTTGCCTCTCTGGCGGAAGGCTTGTGGCTAGGAGCTTTTTGGAGAGTGAGGGGAGATACTAGAGCTCAAAATATTTGTTTTTTGAAGACCACTTTGGCTCCTGGGATGATGGGACCTCTCTACCTCTGGAAAGAAGGAGCAGGACTTCAGATTTCCTGACCAAGGACCCAAGTCCAACCCTCAACTATGCAGCCAGGATGAACCACTAGGGAGCTCAACTGTCTCAGCTCCCACCTTAGCTCACCCACACCTGAAGTTCCCTAAGTACCTGCAGGCCTTTGCCTATGCTGGTTCCTCTGTCTGGAACACCCTCTCCATCCTTGTTCAAATGCCACCTCTAAGAAGTCTTCTCTACCCACCCCAGAATGAGTTCAGGACTCCCTGGACTCCCGGCTTATACTAAAAGCACCTAGGAAATTAATATACTGTTGTGTTCTGGCTGATTGCCTTATCTGCTCCCCAACTGCACCCTACGCACCCAGAAGGCCAGGAATGTGTTTGGTCTACTTTTGGGGTCCCACAGCCAAGACAGACTAAGTGCATAAAAGCATTTGAACACATGAGCAGTTACAAAATAATATATGCAAAGCACTCTATTAGGGCAGAAGGAACACAGAGAACCAAAGATGACTTAAATATCCTGGACCCCCACCACCTTAGCACAGAGCCTGGCCAAGGGTGAGCACTTAGTAAGCATCTAATTTAATTATGATTATCATTGTTGCTAAGAAAATGCTTATTGAACAAATGAATGAACACATGTATGAAGAAACACCTGGAAAAGTTGGTGCTGGGAGCTTCAGGCTGCAGAGGCAGGGTCCCTGCTCAGGCTCCAAAACCCACTCTAACAAGACTGCAGGCCTTGCCTGCAATGTTTAAGGAGATCTGGGGGTTCAGTCTGTCCTCAGGACAGGCTGCAGCACTGGGCCCAGAAGCAGACAGTCAGCATGGGAAGGCGCCGGGAAGAACGGGGTGAGTCGGAGGGGGATGATGTAGGACAGGGCTGGGGAGTCCAGCTTCTCAACAGGCCTAAGGAGATGTCCAGGCCATAAGGAGATTGCAGAGACTGAAGTCTTCTGAGGGGATGCAGTCCCAAAGTTTCCATTTCAGCTCAACTCCAAGTCTATGCTCATGGAGGGCAACCTCCGTGGGTTTCTCCACTGTCAGAATCATCAGTTCTGTCTCACATGTGCCCACTCTGCCTGGCAAGTTTAAGAGCCCTTGATGCTTGAAGGAAAGAATGAGGGAATGAAAGAATGCAAGAAGGAAGACACCCCAGGATGCTCCATCCCAAGGAAGCCCAGGGGGGGCCAGCTGGAAGGCTGCCCAGCCCTGCAGGTGGGTGGGCAGGAAGAGGGGTTGATGTGAGGCCGAAGCCATGGCTAGGGGAGGAAGACCATGCCCCCACTCCATGGGTCTGCTTGGGTGGAGGTCTCTGGAGGCCCCAGCCATGGCTGGTCTAGACCAGTGCAGGGAAGAATCCATGAGCAAAGTGATCTAGTTCTTCCTCCTAGAGGCAGGTAAATGAAATGGGTTCACTATGCTTGGAAAATAAATCACCAGGGGCTTGGGCAGGAAGACACTACCCCAAATGCCCCTCCCCAATATGGCCCCCCTCAGTGAAGCACTGCTGGTGGGTAGGAAACAGAACCCAGGGGATCCCTAAGGGAGAGGCCAGAGGAACTGCTGACCACACACACACACACACATGAGGACACACACATAGATGTGCAAGCATACACGTGTGCATGCACATGCTCACCCTCACACAAACTCACCCTCAACACACAAGGCCTTCACAGACACACCACAACCCCCCCACACAGCAACCTCCTTTCTGGAACACAGATACATATTGTGCACCATGCCCGGAGACGTGAAGTCATCCTCATGGATCCACAGGGTCACACGGGTTGACCCATCCAAATTCATCTCCAGAGTCACACATACCTGCAGCTCTTTTGCCAGAACGCTGATATAGACACCCGTCACCCCCAAATACACCCACAGGTGTACCAGCAGCTTCTGACCCACCCTGGGACACACCTCATGCACATACGTGCACTCACACACAGGCACACCCATTCACACCCACAGAGGCTCCCCAGCACCACACCCTCCAAACTTGGCTGGCCCGAGTCCTCACCCCAACATCTATTACTGGTCTTTCTCCCCTTTTCTATCCTCCAGAGACCCCCTCCTCCTCTCAAGCTTCAGCCCCTGCTAGGAGGCAGAATTAAAGATAGAACTTGGCATTCAAAGTACCTCGTCTGTCATAAGCCCCTTCCCTGGGGCCCTCCAGGAGTACCAAAGCTGAGTTCCAGCGCCTGTGGCCAGGGGCCGCCTCCCCCAGTACAGCCCCAAGCAATCTCAGAGAGGGGCCCAGGGTAGGCAGAAAGAAAACATACTTGAAAAGGGGGGAGACAAGATTAGGGGACTGGGAAAAACTGGCCAGGCCCTCAAGAAAGGAAGGAGAGCAGGGAAAGACAGCCAGAGCTGCTCAATTTCCACTATCATGAGCAGTGCTAACATTTATTGAGCACCTCCTAGGTGCAGGCAGTGTTTATACTGAATATTCACAGTCACTCTGCGAGCTCCACTTTAGAGACAGAGAAAGGAGGAATTTCAAGACACCACATTGCTTGATCCAAGTCCCAGGCTTTCTAGTAGGGGAACTGGGATTCAATACCAGGCAGGCTCCTGCCCCTGATCTCCCTGGACACTACTGGTCTAGGTGACAGAAAGCTGGTGTGATCTGGACAAGCCCTCTAATCTGGATGTCTGTTTATCTGGCTATTAAATGAGGTGGGAGAAACACAGGCTGTCCCCAGCAGAGAAAGACACCATAAGGGACGTGTTGAGTCGATCCAGGGCCGGGGTCTTCCCACACTGGCCTCGAGCTATGGCTACGTTGTTATTACCCATAAACAGAGGGGGAGGTGGAAACCTCATGCTTCACGCTCCAGCCGACAGCAGCCTCGGCCCCACGGGAACCCAGTCCTCTGAGAGCTGGTTGCTATGGATACATTCCCGAGGGTCCCAGCCTGCCAGCCCCCAAGCCCCTGTGAAGCCCCCAGAGTGTGCTCTTACATGAGTGAGTCCTGGGGGAGGGAAGGGGTGGGCGAACAGACAGCTGGGCCCCTGCCCCCAGGCGTGCCCAGGCAGGGGGCAAGGCCCCAGAGGCTGCTGCCTTGGCTCAGGAGGTACCTGGGCTTTGTCTAGCTCCTTTCTGCAAATGGCCCATCTGCCTGGGCCTCTAGGCAGGCAGAGACAGTTTCCAGCTCACCCCTCCCTCACAAGGCCTGAAGGCAGGGAGAAGAAGGCCTGAGAGGCTCCCGGGAAACAAGCCCCCCTTGGGTTTCAGTCGCTACACTGCCCCACACAGCTATGCATCCTGGGGTCTATGGCTTCACCTTTCTGAGCCTGGATCTGCTCTTTGCCCAGGTTGTTGCCATGGAGATGATATTGGAGTCGGTGCCCAGGGGAGCACCTCTCACATAGTAGGGGCTTCTACAAAGTGGTACTTAAGGCTGGATCCAGGGCAGACTGGGGGAGAAGTGTGGGACTCAAATAGCCCAAGGCTTTGGAGACACTAGAAGCAGCTCCACGGCCATCAGGAACTCCCCAGCACAGCAGTGAGCAATGCCAAAGGGAGGCATGATTAGGCTGGGGTGTACCCAGGAGAAAGGGTGTGGGGGCCCAGCCCAGCCACACTGTCCCACAGCCTGAGCATGGGACACAACCACCCTGGACCCCATCCCGGCCAGTCTCAATCCCCTTGCAGCCAGGATAGGCTCCAAGGTTGCTGGGTAGAGTGTTAGTCAAGATCACGGCTGTGGCACCAGACACTGACTGCCTGGGTTCAAATCCCCTCTCTGCCTCTTGAAAACTGAGGCCTCGGGGCAAATGACTCCACTATGTTATGCCTCAGTTTCCTCACTTGCAAACTGAGTGTGATAAGGGTTAAACAGCTATAAAGTGCCTGGCACACCCTTACCCCTCAACAAGTGTGATTATTATCATAAATGGAAAAAATAACAAGCGATGTTTACTGTGTGCACAGTGCTTCCTTTACTCCTTTAAACCTCAGAGCAAAACGCTGAGGTCAGCCCCAGAAACAGTCACAATATTCAACAACCGAGGAGTAGCAGGCCCTGACCAATCGGAGCAGACGCCGGTTAAAAAGCAGAAAGGCCCCCAGTGCCTCCCTGGTGATGGCAGCTCCGTAGATAGCATTACTATTTCCAGTTTTATTACTATTACTACTATTACTATCACTATTAATTACCATTGTTATTACCCTCTGGCTTTACAGGGGAAGACAGAGGCCCAGAGAGGACAACACACAACTGGGTACTGGGAGAGGGTAATGTTAACCCAGGCCATCTGACTCCAGGGCCCAAACACTCCCAAAGACCACCCACACCAGCCCCCACATCACCCCAGCCAGCCAGCAAACTGAGGCTCAGGGGGACAGAGCTGGAGAGCAGTGACCAGTGCCCTGCTCAAGACCTTGGAAGAGTGTCCTACTGGACCCTTGTTTGGAGGTCTGGCTCAGCCAGAAGACCCTGAGAGGTGGGGTGTCACAGCCCCTAAAAGGAGCTCTCCACTCCAGACAAGACTTTGAAGAAAAGCCTCAGGCTCCAGCCGGACACATGGCTCTATCCTCATTCAGGCATTCCTCTCCCCAGCCAGGTGACCTCTGGCTCGCCGGGCCTCAGTGGGCCCAGCTGTAACAGCAGGGGGCTGGGCCGGAGGCCTCTAAGGTGCCTTCTATTGTGGGATTCTCCCTTCACTCTCTGTGGCCCTCCTTCTCTCCTTCTCTCTCCCTCACCCCCTCAAAATCCCAGAGTCTCAGGCCCTGGTTCTTTTTTTTTTTTTCGTGTCCAGCAACAGATCGCAACCCTCAGTGTCGCGCCCGTACCGGACCAGGACCAGCAACAGGATCGCAACCCTCGGTGTTGCTCCCTCACCTCGCCCAGCCAGTGAGCGGGAACCGGTCTCTATGTGGGATCCGAACCCTTGGCGGGAGCGCCACCACACTCCCAAGCGGCGCACTGTAGCA